TTTATTAAAGAAAATCACAATTTGCATAGAATACCTATTGAAAACATCTTTGGAATGGGGGGTTGATGATCAATATGATGAAGAGATGGGATATTGTGAATTTGAATGCTTATTTGAGCAATATCGGTGTATAGTTTATAGGCGATTTCACACAATATTTGATACCATAATCATTGATTGAAGTATTCAGAACAAGTGGATACTTAAAAGTATAATCCAGGCATAGACAAAAATATTTCTCAGAATAGCTTAGTTACTAGATAAATAAAACTCTCAAGGATCAGTTTTAAAAACGTTAATGTTTGACTATTTCTTACTTACTATTGTACCTGCTTTGAATAAATTTCTCTCATTCATTATCCTGTTTAAGTCTTAATCTGTTTTAATCTGTTTAAAATGCACTGATCAAGGAACTGGTGTACCAATTTATCACAAAAGCAAACGTCTACTATACTGATAACCTTCAAGTGTTCTGAAATGATCTCAGGAATCCATAGCTAGCTAATAAGAATTCAAGTGATATAAATTAATAATGAATCATATAAAAACCTTAAAAGGCATTAGAATTAGTTAGTCTTAAGGATTAGAAGTTGTGTTAGGATGAAGATTTAAGTTGAGACGTCAGACTTAGGATTATTTTAAGTCTTGCAAATTGAACGCTCTATTCGTTTCCTAAGCTATTCTGGAAACCCGCAAGCTAGAACTACACAGCGACCTGAACACCAGAGAGAAGACGCAAAGTATGAGAGAAATACTTTACTCCAAGGTTCGTTTTTGTACAGAAAACATGGGTACTTATATATGTTAGCGTTTGTTGAATCAACATCATATTTCGGCCAATCCGTTAACGATATATTATGCTACTGACCAACAGTAGTACGCCACGTTGGAATTCTAGAATGCTCCATCATGCTCTGATTGACTAGGACTCTTCGGATCCTTTTGGGCCTCTGGAGGTTCCATTGAAGTTCTCCAAAAGCCAACTCAACAGATTATTAGATTAGATTAGGTGTGGTTCATCACTACAGTAACTTTTCGACCAAATATTCTTATTGTCAATACAATTTTCATTCTAATATTATGGTTTTCAGTTTTGATTCATTGTGAATAATTATTCAGAATTCCCAATTATCTCAAAGAAGGACTAATCAAAATTGTATCTCAGATAAAATGTTTTAACTGGGTAATTATTTCTTTCTTCTAACTTTGCATAAAGTGATTATATAATCCATAGTAACAGTAATAGTAATTATAGTAATTTTCGTCATCAGTGTGGGCTGATAAAACCGAAAAAAAATATAGAGAATGTTTATGTGTATGTTAGTGTATCAGTTGATGTTTAATGTTTACCATCATATAAGAAATCTAAGAAAGGGGGTTTGCGGAAATTGCAGCAATTGAATAGTTGAATTCATGAGTCAATTGAAGCTAGACCACCACGAGAAACGTAAAAGCACTGGTGGCTGTTTCGTCATAATATAAAACTCCTCAGCAGTGCGCACCTACGATCTCGCCTTTGGGATTCAAACCCAAGGCCTTCGGTTTTGCACGCAAGTACTTAATCTCTAGATCACTGAGCCAACATCCAACGGTGTTATTGTCTGAATTCAACCAATCCACAAAAACTGTACCACCATAGATAGATTGAAACAAGCTGTAGAAATGTCCATTATTCATATCATTTCGTCTAGTTTTGAGTAAACAACAGTTTTTGTTTCGTTATTTCTAACGTGAATATCAAAGAAATCGCATAAAGAAAAAATTAAAAAAAGATAAAAATAAAAATATTGAATATTTTCCGCCCACATTATCCTTTCTCCTGGTGAATATCCGAGTGGATGTCAAATGTTTTTTTTCTTTTTTGAAAAAAAATACAAAAAAAAAGAATGTTACATCGTAAAATGTTGATGACACTTGGAAATTGTTGACAACTTTGTTTTCGGTTTCTCATTTATTCAAAATAAGAAGAAGGAAAAAAGAAACTTTTTGTTTTCAATGTTTTTCAGTTCAGAATTTTTCTTTATTTTAACTGTCGGCAAAAATATTTCTGAATAGTAATGTTGTGTTTAAATGGAATAACTTGAAAAAAGTTAACTATTGCTAAATGCTGTGTTACAGTGGAGGATACGGAGATTTAGTTCTCCCTCTTCAAGTGCTCTCACATGGTCATGAGCATACAAGCACTGACAATGAAGTCATACTCACTGCTTTCTCTCACGAAAGGTGTTGTTTACGAAATCGGGAGGATGAAAAGTGAATGTACGACATTTTGACCGGGATAATGAACACCGAGGGTCCATCTAGGGGAGTTGGAAACCCTAATTCCAAACCGATCGTGCACATGTGATCTAGGATCCTGAGGGAACAAATGACGTATGAACCAATCGTTGGTCACCGGCTAACATGGGACTGCATCTCCTGACATTGCCCCATTGCCTTGTGGATTAGACCTTTAAGTTGAAGGCTTAAGGTGTAGCCACCTAAGAAAACCACCTGTTACTGTTTGGGCACCCAGGCAGTTTCCCAGCCCTCACATAAATCTAATGATTTATGTGGCGCATATTTATTTGATGCCTTTGAATAAAATAAAATGAAAATGGAGCATTTATTACCTACTTTGTGCTCATTTGAGATTATCTAACATGTCCATAAATCACAATATTAAAAGAAACCAGTGGTCTTTATATTTTTACGATATTTTTGTAATGAATTCAAGCCATTGGTTCGAGTCGTACTTGTTGAAGTTATTGTCTTTAATGAATTATTCAGAAATCTGTTAGTCCTTTATGATTGATGCGTAGAGTTTCACAAGAAAATCAAGACAAAAGTAGTGATACTCAAGTTTTAACGGCTCACCAACAGATGACAGCTTCTAGTGAAGACTATTCACATATAGAACAGAAAGCATTAATAAGCTTGTGATATGTATTTATTGACAATTGTTAATTGAGTAAATTCTCTAGTTTGTTATTCGTTACCAAACCCATATTTTACATATTAACTTCGTGCAAAACTTAGATAAGTTTAGACATATAACAGTTTAGATACCATCACTCCTTGTTGAAGTTGAAAGTCTTCTGTTCGATCTTTGATACAATCTTGGGTGTACACTGTGAAGGAGTCTCAATACGAGAACAAAACAGCTACTCACTTATTTATGTTCTGTAAATTATATTGTTTCACTATTTACTTACATATGCTATTAACTGGTTGCTTCTCTTCAGTTAATATCAGTTAATAAGCATAAACAAGCATTATGGTATTATGGAGTTGTGTATCTAGGCGTTTCTTGTGGAATCCAAGTTGTTTGTTTTTAGCTTTAAACAGATTTTATCTTTAAATTTGTTGGTTACTTGACAACTAATTACAAATATTCTCCATGAATATCATTCTATGAATAGTCAACAGGGATGTGATGATTGAATGACATTAGTTATGTCTTGTATAAATAAACACATTCATGTGTTGAATGGAATGACAGAGAACATTTATCCCCATTCTTTGTTATTATTGTGAATTGGTATTTCATTTTTCTACTTTTATCATTGTCTGGTAACTTATGTTAGATTGCCGTATGTTTAGTGTTGGGTAGTTGGAGGATTATGAACATTTTAACGCTTGCTATAATTGATATGTAGAATTCTTACCATCCTTTATTAATTGGTTGTCCATTCAAACATTATCATATATAAATATACATACGTATATTATGTTGCAATAATCAATGAGCCTAAACATCCATAGTATTGCTTTTCTTCGTCTAACTCTATAAGATAGACGATCAACAACACTATCACATCGATGAATCATCAGTATAGCGTTTGACATTTTTTTAAAGAGTTAGTTTTCTACGAGATGGAGTCGCTAACCCTATGCCTTACCCTCCTCCTTCATCCAGACTTGGGACCGGCATTTAGTCACAGAGCAGCTCTAGACAGAGTTTCAACAGTACAAATCAAAAATATCTACAAAATGATTTACAATATTCAATATGGATTCAATCTATATACCATATGGATTTCTAGACAAATTTTTTTCATTATTTTGTTTTCGATTACAATAATATAAACCAATCTGAGAATAATATACACATCATTATTCTATAAGTGTTATTGATCCATTCTAATAAATGTATTACTTTGAGGGTAGACCAACAAACTTAAACATGGTTACATTCATGTATATAGGAAGAGAGGGAAAAAGTGAGAGAGAGAGAGAGAGGGATTATTATTATTACATTTAACAAAACAAGATTTACAATATAAAATGCTTAATAAACATTTCACTTGAAATATGTATAGAAAACAAGTGTTTATTACTATATAACAATAAAAATGTTATAAAAAAATTTCTAACATTATTTTACCTGGATCCTAAAGATAAATAACAACAAATAAATCGGTTTATCCTATCTACTTAATGTAAATAATAATAATAATAATAATAATAATAATAATACTGGTATTTTCATCTTGAATAATCAAAACAAAGGTCAACTTTATCAATTAGGTAAATAAATAAAAATCATAATAATATGCCATGAAAAAATCAATCAGAAATCAATTCCAGATCATGTTTCCTTCACTGATCATATAATAATAATAATAATAATAATAATAATAATAATAATAATAATAGTATCTATTTAATAATTCGAATCATTTAAATTGACCCCCCTTTCATGATTTATTTTAACCAATCAAATTAATCGTAACAAATAACCAATCAAATTTGAAGATATTTATTTACTGAAATGATCGGTGAAAAAATAATGGTTACCATAGAAGAAATCGAAGAATTTTTTTTGTTTTTGTTTTTTATTTTTTTATTTTTACATTAAAGAATGAATTATATCACTTAAAATAGAAAATCTTTTAGATTATTATGGATTACAACGAACATTGTCATTTCATAATATAACACGCACACACTCTCTATACTATTCAATTGTTTCATGAATGTAAAGTATCTATTTTCTTTTGAAGGGATCTAAATAGACAATGTTCAATTATAATAGTTCATTAAGAATGATACAAGTGAATCATTCGTTATTTTTTCCTATGAACAATAAAGTTTTAACACATTTTACAACTGAACCAGTTGAAATTTATTTACCGAGTATTATTACTTCAACTATATTACTTATCATTATTTCTATGATTGGAACAATCGGTAATAGTCTTGTTGTATGGGCATTTACAAAACAAGTTAAACAAGGTATTATTTCTGGCTTGTTTATTCTATTATTAGCTTGTAATGATTTATTTATTTGTCTTATTGTAATCCATGTACATTATATTTAGATATTTGGACAGGGGATACAACTGATTGGATATGTCGTGCACATTTAACAATGAAAGGATTTGTTGTACCTGTTTCAGCATGTATATTAATGTTGATAGCAATGGAAAGATTTTTATTAATCTGTTTCATTCCTGGTATACAAATGCAACGTACACATATTGTATTATCATTAGTCATTATATTTTGCATTGGTTTATTATGTGCTATACCAATGGGATTACATGTTCGTGCAATTGATTTATTTAAAGAACGTGATGAATTATTAGATTTAAATACATTGAAATATGGATTATCCACTATGGAAAATGAAGAATGGCTTGATCAATTACGTGTTTCAAAACGATGCGATAAAGATGACACATACATTAATGACCAGTTATACTGGTATCATCAAATTTGTGTACTCCTGTTATTTTTAGTATTATTTCTTGGAACAGCTGGTGTATATGCACTGATCTTTCTATTTGTCTGGAGGCATGAATCATTTATGTATGAGAAATATGGTAATCCAAAAATGAAAGGCAATTGGGTACGTATACATGCTACACCGAATTCTTCAGGTGATATAAATGATTCCAAATGGAATTCAATTAAAAAACGAATATCATTTCGTAAAAAGTTAAAAGAATCAAATGATTTACAAAATGAACAAGAAGATAAACAAAATTCTAGTGTTTTTGAACATGAAGAAAGACAACAATTGGAACTTCAGGACCGTCAACAATATGGACAGAATTGCTTTGAACAATTGTCTAGTTTATCATTACCTCAGCCATATCTAAAACAACAAACTTTGGGAATTCATCAACCTCTAACAGATATGACAACATCGACAAGTTTTGTCACATCTAATTTAGACAGAATAAGTTGTGTGTGTTTATGTGAAAGAGATAATAACAATGGATTGATTAATACTAGTCAGTGTTCAATTCCTAAAGATAAACTATTCAATGACAATAATACTGATAAAGATAATGAAGAGTCACATTGTTTAAAGCTACCTGGCAATAAGAAAACCCAGTGTACTATAGAAATAAATAATCCTCAATTATCAAGAATTGAATTGTCAGCAGCTAATCTAGAACGTAGACGTAAACCACATGTACGTACAGCTCAAACATTAGCATTAGTTGCAGCAAATTTCATTATATCTTATACACCATATCTTGTTTATACAACAATGCCAATACAAAAAAGACAAGTAGTTCTTTTAAAAGATAAACCACATTGGACTATTCAAGTAAGACGTATACTATTTTACATGTATTTCATTAATTCTGCATTGAATCCAATCATTTATTCTTGTATGAATAGACATTTTCGTGTTTGTATAATCAAGTTTTATACAGACTTAAAGATGAAATTGAAAAGACAAATAACAAGATCAATCATAAATGATACTAATCATGAATTAGTTTGTGTTGAATTATCACCTAAACCAACTGTTTCAAATCAATGAAATTGTTTAATAAACAATATAAAACATATCATTTCTATTTAATTGATTATAGTTGATCCAAGATGAACTTTATTTGATGCAATGGATCCAATTAGATCATTGAATGATTTCAATGAATCGATTGGATCATTCATTCATAACTTTTATTCTTATTGTATCTTATTTATGAAATATCATCATATTCATCTTATTATTATTATAATTGACGTAATATTCTTTCATAAATGTAAGTACTTTTAATTGTTATAACTTGTGCTTTGTGCTCTGTTAATGTATAATGTAGTGATACCGCCAATTAGAGAACAGTGAATTATCGACCGGACCAATGATGAATAAAACCTGTACGAGCAGCCTAGTGTCCTTATTTACCCTACTTCCCATCTAGCCCAGCTAGCTAAGTCCACAACATTAGTCTCAGCCTCTGAGATACGAATCATTTATTTCGAACACATAGGGTTTCTATACCAGCCAAACAGACCACATTACATCATGAAGTGGGAAATAGTGTTTGTACAAGATCTAACCAAATGTGGTTATGATTGTGAGAGATAGTAATTGATAGACAGAACATAACTCAAGAACGATAAGTCGTATAATAATAGTTCATAGATTAAAATAGAGCTTATGACAAGAAGATAATGAATATGAATAGCTTTAGTTACTTAATAATCATACAATAAACATATACCTATAATAGTGGTCAATAAATAGATCCCAAAAGGTACCATTCATTATTCTCATCGGGATATAATATTAATGTTAAAAGTACAACAGATATTTTTCATGTTTCAAATTGATTCAAATTTTCACTGAGATCTTAATAGCATTTCTGACTAGTGTTTTATAGTGAGTTAGATTTCTACGCGATTGGGTTGCTAACTTCATGCTCAACCCTTCACCTTTATCCGGGCTTGGGACCGGTAGTACTCCGAGAGGGCCTCCAAACGGGGTTGTTGTATGAACTAATGAATGCTACATGTTAAGTTTAAACAAAATGAGGAAAGAATACTTTAAACATAGTAGTCGTCATTGTGGTAGCTATAACAACAACGGATACAACATGTGGTGTAAAGTATTATGTGAATTAGCTCTTAAGGGAACAGTAATTGGTTAACGCATTTGAATAGATGTCAGGAATAAAATAAACATCATTAACTGAAAGTTAGTCTGGAAACTATTTAAACCCTATAAACAGGTAAAAGAATGTTCAATCTCAATTTGGAACTTCTTTAACAGTAAGAACTTCTATTTTGTTCACGGTGTCAAGCTTACAGAATTTAGGCATAAATAGTCAGTTAATTTAACCGAGTGTGGCGAGGGGGGGGTCAAACAAAGATGTAGTGATCCTTAAATTTTGATTTCTTTTTTGATCGTAAAACTTTCGAACGCACATCTGTGATACTCGTTCCTTCATTCATATTCAAGCATGTGATTACGAGAAAAACTCTTAGTTGTCACCATGTTGAATATCTAATGAACCTTTTTGAGGAAAAGGTGTATAAAATGGATTTTTTCCCCTGAATTTATTGTTCACTTCATGATTGAATTAAGACTAGATTCTTATGTAACCGCATAAGTTTAAAAAATAAAGTTTTGAGATCGTTTCATATCAAAAAAAGATGTTATCCACAAGAAAATAATTCGAGAGAATTAAACTTGAGTATAGTTTTTATATATGAGGCATAGAATATTTCAAATGTATTAGCTTCATTAAGTTTTCATGTCAAACATTTACTACTTACAAAATGGAAGCATATAAGAAAGAATAAGTTCAACATATTCAGTGTAATAAAGTAGAGGATACTAGAAACATCATCATCTAGACTGTGGTTTACAAAAGAATCTCGATTGATTATTCTTTATGTTATCTGAATATTTTGACCTTGGAAATATTTTAAATGATGGCAAAAGGGTATTAATCAGAGAGGGATATTGTGGATAGCTAGACCACCATGGAAAACCTGGAACCACTGAACGGCCGTTTCGTCCTAGCACGGAACTCCTCAGCTGTGCGCATCCACGAATAATAAATTACTATAATATTCATAAATACTCCTTTCTGATATTAGTTAGCATTTCCCCATCAGTGACTGGCTTCAAGAGGTATTTCTTGGAGTTCTAATGAGAAGCAGTGACCAGTGGAGTTCAACCGAGTCTGCTGTGAGATAGTAACTCACTGATGACAGTAGAGGATGGTGGCGTATTTTCATGGAGTAGTTAAAGTTAGAGATTAACACCACTGGATGTCGGCAATTTCAGTGATATAGAGGTTAAGGGTTCGCTCTCGAGACTGATAGGTCCCGGGTTCGAATGTCTCGGGGTGAGATAGTGAATGCGCACTGCTATAGAGTCCCATACTGGAACGAAACGGTTTTTCCATGGTTTTCTAGCTTCAATTGACTCATGAATTCAACTAATAAATATATCTCCTTGAAATACTCTCAATGTATACTAGAAAAAGAGAAGTGCTTTTTCTTCCATTCTGGAATATAGGATTATGTAATTTTGTTGTAAATATGATATAAACATCTTATCAGTTTGAGGGTTGTAGAGATTGTTAAATTTTTGATTGAGATCATGAACCGATTGATGTTGGACTACTTCGTGGATTGGTTGAGGTTAGACATTAACACCATTGGATGCCGGCTCAGTGGTCCAGTAGGTTAGGTGTTTGCGCGCGAGATTGAAGGCCCTGTGTTCGAGTCCCGTGGGTGAGGTCGTGGATGCGCAGTGCTGAGGAGTCACACAATAGGACGAATCGGCCGTCCAGCGCTTCTATGTCTTCAATGGTTGTCTAACATCAATCGGTTCATGATGTCAATCATAAACATCTTAGTTAGATGATACATTCAAGGTGATAATGAAATGATTCCAAAATTTATCGTTAGGATAATTTATGCGACTGGTACTGTAATGAACAAACACTTGTTGCAGAGAACTAATTTATTTTTTTAGTGCACAGTTACAAAGTGTTTTCGCAAATTATGAAAATCATACATTAAATACTTCATTTGTGCATCTTTCATCAGTTGTCATTTACATTCTTCATGATCCTTTCAATTCTGCTTTTATTCTAGTTTCTTTCCGTTTCACTTTACATTCACTTCAGTTCAATCTTCTCAGTCTTTATTTTCAGACAAACATTTCATTTCTGATTAGTGTTACATACTACTTACATCTGTCAAAATAAGTATCATTCATCACAGTATATCTGCATTTGCAATATGGCTTAGTGTAAGTGTAACTATGTAAGTTATAAACTTTTAAACAATGTTGTTGATTACATAACACTGAAATACAGTTCAAAATATGTGAAAGTATACAGAAATATTTATGTTAGCAACATGAACGTGACTTCCACCCTCACTTAAGCTTTACCAAACCTTTTACAAAGTTTACTGTCCTGGCTCTTAGTGATTCCTTTCTAATTTAAGTCAGCTTTGTTACATCTGTCGAACATTAAAATGTACATTTTGATGCGCATCTACTGTTGATTGGACGGTAGAAAATTATTCGACTTTCCTTTCTCCGCTTTTCTATCATGATCTTCCATCCTGATAATTTCAAATCGGATCAACATAACATTTACAGCTGAAAACTAAATTAGTACAACCAGGATTTTGCCAATTAGATTTTGATCAGTTTTATATGCCCTTTGTGTAGATTTTGTTATTCACATCTCTTTAGAGAAATATTACTGAAATGGATTATTTATTTTATTGAATCATTGAATTATACTGAGAATCAATGCAGTTTGGCAACTTAATTGACAGTGAATAACAAACTTATCTTGCTACTAAATGGTCTTCAAACATGACAGTATCCGACTGCTTCTTAATACTGATATCATAATACAATAATTTGTAATTTAGAACAACATATATATATATAAGCGAACAATATTGTTTTCGATTAGATCCTCATCAGGCTTCACTCTAATATGCGGTAATGTAACATATTTCTTAAACTTTGTACCTCTTCATTAGTCAAATGTTTGCCAAACAGAGCTATTAAGATATGCTCAATCGATATAATTAATAAAGAATTAGAGCTCATATATAATATGTTGATTGAAATGGATTATCCACAGGATTTTCTGAAGAAACACTTGCGTGTAACAAATAAGAAAATAGTGATATCAACAACTAGTAAGAAACCTCTCTTCCTGAAGCTGTAATTCAATTGAGATGTAGCTGGTGATGTACTACGTGATAAACTGACCAGAGCAGTGAAGAGAGTATTTAATGCAGCTAACCTCTGTCTATCGTACTCGACTCGACCAATGGTGATTCCCCAAATAAAAGATAAATTACTTGGTTATGTCACTTCTATATGCATTTACAAATTCAGCTACTTCTGTGGAGAAAGCTATATTAGGCGCACTACTAGACAACTGAACCAAAGAGTTAGTGAACACCTCCCTTCGTGATTAGGAAAAGGTAATGTCAAGACAATATGCAGCTCAGTTCTATTACACTTGATCGATAGCGGTCATGCAGTGAACAGGAACAAGTCATTTAAAGTTATTTATAGTTTTCCTACTAGTTTCCCCTATGGTGTTCGATCTCGTCTCTTAAACAGGGCAGAAGCTATAGGAATTCGAGCCAACAATTCAAGTCTTTGTGTTCATAAGGAATCTGTAACATTCTTATCTCTCCCTTGGCCTTAATTTATTAATTTGTTATTATTTTCCATACACTTTGTTCGTTTATTTTTCTTCACACCCTCCTACCTTTTTCTTTCCTCACGGTTCGCTTCATGGTCCAATTATCTGAACACCTCATATTACGTAATTTTGTAATCCTTCTATGAATGTTATGCCAATGTCTATATTTTTCTAAACATTGACCTATTTCCGATTGATTTAAGCCTTTATTATTCATATCAAAACTAGTACATCTGTCATCACACTATCAATTTGTACTTTCAACTATTATGTTTATTTATTTAATCTTTTCCATTGTTATCATTGACACATAAACTACCTTGATTGGTTTAATCATTTCGTATATCAGAAGGGGTTTTGTGGAAATTTTGGAAATTTCACAGGTTGAAATCATGAGTCAATTGAAGTTAGACCACCATGGAAAACCTGGAAGAACTGGACGGCCGTTTCGTCCTAGTATGAGACTCCGCAGCAGTGCGTATCCACGATCCCACACCCCGCGAGATTCGAACCTAGGACCTACCAGTCTTATGATTTCAACCAGTGAAATTTCTAAAATCTCCACAAAACCTCTTCTGATAGTAATCACCTGCTAACTAGTGACTAACTTCAAGAGATACTCCTGGAGT